GCCGTAAGATATCAAACACTACATCCTCTTCGAATGGCAGCCTGCAAGCAAACAGAAAAACACATAAACTTTCAGGTTTTTGGACAAAACCAACACATATCTAACTAGAGCTATAGATGTTGTCAGGAATCAAGTATTTAGCATTCAATTTCAAACAGGATTGTCATTATAGTAGACATCTGGATTATTTATGTCTGGCAGTTGATACTGGCTGGGCTGTTGCTAGAATCCTGACATCTGGCCTGTCATGTAGCTTAGGGTCCCTCAAAGCCTGAAGGATGGGGTCCCAAAGAGAAAAAGTTTAAAGCTGTATTGCTGCCTTAGAACTTATATAGCACCCCTTCCACCATACTGATCTGGTTGGGGCACTCACAGCCTATCCAGATTCAGAGGTGGGACATATACTCTAGCACTCGATGGGGAGTGACAAGGCTGGGGAAAGGCATGTTGGACTAGAAATATTGTATTCAAAAGCAAAGATGACAGTTTGAGAAATAAGGTGCACACGACCCAAACCATGGTATTTTCAGTAACCTCATATGTATATGAAAGTTGGACTGTAAATATGGAAGACCATAGAAGAACTGATGCGTTTGAGTTGTGGTGTTGAAGAAGAATATTGAAAGTACCAGAAGAAAAGACAAATCATCGTTGGAAGAAGTACGGCCAGGGTGTTCCTTGAGAGCCAGGATGGCCAGACTTCATATCTCATATTTCAGACATGTGATCAGGAGATACCAGCCTCTAGAGAAGGACGTCATGCTGGTAAACTGGCTAAGAGCAACAAGCATCGTCTTGTATTCTCTGCTTTCAACCAAGATCCATCTTATGTCTGCAAATAATTCCACATCCTCTCTGGAATCCAGCTAAAATTTCTAACAGCTTGATGTACTGTTGCAGCCATGTAAAAATTATTTTCACCAAAATTCACTTACATGTGATATTATTAATATCGTTTGATGATATCTGCATTCCTTTGGCTAGCTATCTTTGGAGTGGACACAAATATGGTTCTATTTCAATCACTTGGTCAGGTAAGTTGTCTACCAAATTGCTTGACACAGGTGAGTGAGTGCCTCCAGTGCTGCATCAGTTTATTTAAATATTTCAATTTGTATTCCTTCAGTTCCTTGAACTTTGTTTTTCGCCAGTGCACCTTGAACTTCTTCCATCAGTACCATCAGTTCTTGATCATATGCTACCTATTAAGTAGAATTGGTGACAGCTCTTCCCTGAAAGTTTGGTAGACCTCATCAGTAAAGCCTGCACTTCTTTTGATTGGGAATCAAAAGATGACCTGATCATCTTTTTTTTTGATGACCTGATCAATTTCTTCTTTTGTTATGGGTCTATTCAGGTTTTCTACTTCACTCTGTATAAGTTTAGGAAAGTCGTGTTTTTCTAAAAATGTATCCATCTCTTCTAAGTTTTCAAATTTGTTGGAGTAGAACTCTTCATAGTATTCTTTTATTATCCTTTTGATTTCCTTTGGTTCCATTGCGACATCGCCAATGTGGTTTCTAATGTATGTTATTTGTGTCTTCTCCCTCTTTTCTTTTGTTAGGTTTGCCAATGGTCTGTCAATTTTGTTAGTCCTTTCAAAGAACCAGCTTCTTGTCCTGTTGTTTGTGTCTATAGTTTTTCTATTTTCTATCTCATTTATTTCTGCTCTAATCTTTATCATTTCTTTTCTTTTGGTGGCTGTAGGTTCCCTCTGTTGGCCTGTTTCTAATTATTGTAGATGCTGTGTTAATGTGTTAATTTTGGTTCTTTCTTCTTTTTGGATGTGTGCATTTATTGCAATAAATTTTCCTCTCAGCACCACTTTCTCCATGTCCCAAAGATTTTAGTATGTTGTGTTTTCATTCTCATTTGTTTCTAGGAACTTTGTGAATTCACGTTTAATTTCTTCTGCTACCCAGTAGCTTTTCAGCAGGGTGTTATTCAGTTTCCATGTATATGACTTGATTTCCTTGGTCTTCCTATTGTTGATTGCTAATTTGATAGCATTGTGATCTGAGAAGATGCTTTGTACTATTTTGATATTTGTAAATTTATGCAGATTTGTTTTGTGGCCTAAAACATGGTCTATTCTGGAGAATGTTCCATGGGCACTGGAAAAGAATGTGTATTGTGCTGCTGTTGGGTTGAATGCTCTGTACACATCTATGAGGTCAAGTTGGCTGATTGTGTTGTTTAGTTCCTCTATGTCTTTGTCAAGTTTCTTTCTGGTTGTTCTATCCATTTTTGAAAGCTGTGTATTAAAATCACCTACTATTATTGTAGATTCATCTATTTCTTTCTTCAAATCTATTAGAGTTTGTTTTAGATATTTTGGAGCTCTTTCATTGGGAGCATAGATATTTATTATGACTATGTCATCTTGTTCAATTGTCCCTTTAATCATGAGATAATGTCCATCTTTATCATTATGCTGGGTTTTGCCTTAAAGTTTATTTTATCAGAGATTAGTACTGCCACTCCTGTTCATTTTTAATTGCAATTAGCTTGGTATATTTTTTTCCATCCCTTGACTTTTAATCTGTTTTTGTCTCTCTGTGTAAGATGTGTCTCTTGCAGACAACATATTGAAAGATCTTGTTTTCTTATCCATTCTGCCACCCTCCATCTCTTAACTGGTGCATTTAATCCATTTATATTCAGTGTAATTATCGATAGGTATGGATTAATTGCTGCCATTATGTTTGGTTTTTTTTGTGTTGTTGTTGTATGCTACCTCTTGAAATGGTTGAACATCGATTATTTCTTTTTGGTACTGTGACTCTGTGTATTCCTTTAATCTTTTGATGATTTCTGCTTAATTCAATATTTTGACCAAAGAATCTTTCAGTATTTCAAATCGAGGTTTATATTTTTTCTTCAGTTGTTTCAGCTTGAGAAATGCTAAGTGCTTCCTTCCCTTTTGGTTTTCTAGCTCCAATCCTTTGCACATTTCATTATAATGCTTTAATTTTTCTTCTTGAGTTGCCTTTGAAATTTTCTGTGCAACTCTTTGGCTTTCTCATTTTCCTCATTTGCTTTATTATCTCTACTATGGAGAGCAAGTTTCAGAGTGTTTCCTGACATTCCTATCATCTTTTCTTTCTTTCCTGTCTTTTTAATAACCTTTTTCTTTATTTCTGTACAATGTTGTTGATATCATCCCACAGTTCTTCTGATCTTTGATCATTAGTGGTTAATGCATCAAAACTTGAGATGGTCTCTAAATTCAGGTGGGATGTGTTTAAGGTCATATTTTGGCTCTTATAGAATTGTTTTAATATTCTACAGCTTTAGCCTGAACTTACACATGAACTATTGTGTATAGTTGCCTTTCATGTTGTGTAAAAAACAACAAAAAAAGGCATTTGCAATGAATAGCCATGTGGTTTCCAGCTCATTTCTATCACCAAGGTCATTTTCTAATTACTTTGAGTCTAACTTTCACATTTCAAATTCCAGTAATTGTCAGTACATCTTGACTACATAGTCAGTTGCAGACAGAAGAAGTTGATCGAATTGTTCAATTTCATCATTTGTGTTTGGTGCAAAATTTTGAAGAATACTGACATTAGCTAGTCTTCTCGTAGGTGTATACATATTTTCCTATCACAGTCAGCAGTAAATGTCTAAATAGATCTTGAAATGATCTCTTTGACAATGAATGAGATGTCATTCCTCTCCAATGAATATGACACCATTCATCTTCAATTTACCGCCATAGTTAACCATGTGATTGTCAGATTAAAAATAGCCAACACTAGTCCATTTCAGCTCACTAATTCCTAAGAGGGAGTCCTTGTGTGGTGCTATAGGATAGGTACTGGCCTGAAAGTTTTGTTTGAATGGCAAGTCTTGCGGTTCAAACTCACCAGCCGCTCCTTGGAAACTCTATAGTGGGTTGCTATGAATCAGAACCAACCAATGGCACTTAACAACAGCCACAATAATACCTAAGATGCCTGTTTTATGTGTCCCATTTCATATTTGACAACTTCCAATTTTCCTAGATTCAGACATTGTACATTCCATGTTCTGATTATTAATGGTTGTGTGCAGCTCTTTCTTCTCCTTTTTAGCTGTGCTCCATCAGCAAATGAAGGTCCTGAAAGCTTTGCTCTATTCACATCATATGGTTAGGTCTACTTTGAGGAGGCAGCTCTTCTTCAATCTTCTTTTAACTGTCTTCGAATCTGAATGGCCCATGATCAGGCACAACATCTGACAATGTTCTACTACTGTTAATACTATCTGCATCTTCCCGTGCTTTAGCTGACAGTGTCCTGCTGCTGTTCAGAAGGTTTTCAGATACTAATTGTTTGGAAGTATCCACCTCTCCTTCTTCCTAATCTGTCTTAGTCTGGAAGCAACACTGAAACCTTATCTACTATGGGTGACTGCTAGTATTTAAAATACCAGTGGCATAGCTTCCATCACCACAGCAACACACAAGCCACTGCAAGTTCAACAAACTGGCAGATGAATGGTGTAATGACCATATGGTAAGGGAAAAGCCACAGAGCATACTGTGAGCCAATGATAGACTTCAAATGAAGTATCTTGGAAAGAATCAAGAGAGATGGCAGAAGTTCCGGTGCTCTCCAGTCTCTAGACTGACTTCTTCAATGCAAACGTGAAGACTCAGAATCCTTTCCCACACATTGAAACGCACTGAAATGTTTCCCAAAGATAGAACTGGTTACTTTCAATTGCATCAGATTGGAATCATATTTTTTTTGAACATGGGGTTTTCAATGGCTGATTTGTCAGAAGTCGATCACCAGGTTTTTATTCTGAATTGCTTCTAGTTGGATGTGAACCTTCAAACTTTCATCTAACAGCAGGGTACATTAACCATTCAGGGCCTCCATTTCCAATAATAGGATATTATTATTATTAGTGATTTGACCACAATTCTATAGATTCGATTCACTTTTTAGTAGTGTGTTTTATTCAGTGTTTGATGGTAGTTCCATCATCTTTGGATTTTTCTTTCGCAGAAACAAATGTGAAGGAAACTACTATGAAGTATATGGAAATGCTTGAGGAAAAACTGCACAGGTAAGGATATTAATTCTTTATTACAGTCTCCGATGGGCATCTGAATCCATTATAACAGAATTTAGGCTAACTTTAAGCCAACAACAACAGAAAGGATTTACCTATTTTAAGAACAAATTAACAAGAAAAACGCACGTGAAAGTCCTTTGAATTCAGCGAGGGAAGGAAGGACCAGGTGTTACACAAACCTCTCTGAGCTCCCAGCTCCTGGCTTCTCTTTTAAAAAGTAAGTAGAATAAGGGGAGATCACCAGATAGTTTTCATAGTCCATAGAAGAAGAATTTCTGTACAAAGTTAAATTTGTAATTCAAATGTCTATCTGTTTTTCCTTTGTTTCCAGTGTCTGAGGGGGTCGTAGTGATTTTGAATCAGCTGCTACATGTTTTAGAACAATAAAATAAATGCATGTCTTAGATTTTGTTTTGAATCCTGAAACAAAAACAGCATGAAAATTCCTGTTTGCTTTTTTTTTCTTCTCCCTTTAACCCAATTAGGAATTCAGATTTGAGAAATGTCAGAGATGCTATAGCATGTCAAAATGGTTCTGGTTTTGTGGTTGTGTACTTAGGAAAATGAATTCCAGCCACTGAGCTCTGGTTCTAATTAAGGAAACACGTACTAGTATGTAATATATGCTTTCTTCCCTGGAAGCCATTTAGTTGTATGAAGACTGTTTTGCTACTATTTTGGAAACAGTGAAGTAAAACTTTAAATACTTTATACCTTAAGCCTTTTTTCTGATAGGATAACGAATGCTATTATCTAAATAGTCCTTCTTCCCTAAAAGATGCTAAGAGGCTGTGTTGTTGAGCACTGCTCTGTAGGATAAGGATAAGGAAGTACTACAGTATTTACCTCTAATGCTTGGAAAGCAAGTCCTTTAAGCCACTGACTGAAACTCCTAGCCCCCCAATTTGTGGAGGTACTATGATGAAGGTGGTAGTAGAGAGGAAGGCATACAGGTAAGAGATAGTCTCTCAGGATGTAACTCTTTCTCCTCAGGAAATACCAGTACCAGTTGTTGCTAGGCTGATTTTGACTCATGGTGACCCCTTGTGTGTCAGAATAGAGCTGTGCTCCATAGAACGTCAAAGGCTGAGTTTTTGGAAGTAGGTCTACAAGCCTTTCTTCTGAAGTATTTCTGAGTAGACGTGAAGCTCCAGTCTCTGATTTAGCAAGTGAATGTGTGAAGTATTTGCACCATCCAGGGACTCCAACTAGAAAATAGGATAATACTTATCGGAACCAGCTGATTTGGTTTTAATTTGACCTTCCTCTTTTCCCATTGCGCTCTGAGGTATGTTCCTGGCTCTCGGTCTTAAATCCAGCTATTTTTTAGACATTGTTGTTAAGTGCAGTCAAGTAGGTTTCGATACATAGCAACCCTATATAGGGTTTCCAAGGACCAGATTGCAGTTTTGAACCACTGATTTATGGTTAGCAGTCCAGTGTTCATTCCATCAAAACCCAAAACCAAATTTATGGTCTTTGAGTTGGTTCTTCTCATAGTGACTATGTTGTTGTTTTGTGCTGTTCTGACTCATAGCTATCCTGTATAGAGTTTCCAAGAACAGCTGGTGGTTTGAATGGCCAACCTTGTGATTTCTAGTCCAGTGCTTATCCTACAACACTACACCCCTGTAGGACACAGTAAAAGTCTCCATAGTGTTACCAAGACTATAAATATTTACAGAAGCAGACTGCCACATATGTCTCCCATGGGGTGCTGGGAAAACTGCCAACCCTTGGTTAGCAGTCAAACACTAAACCTCTGTGGCACCAGAGCTCCTGATGAGGTTCATTAGGTTATTGGGCAGCAAGTTGTCATAGTAAAAACACGGGTATTAGTAGAGAGATACCCATTTAAATTGCAGTTCTATCATTTAGAAATGGTATACCCTCACACAAATTCGACTTTTAATGTCTAACTGTACAAGACTGTGAACCACAAGGCCAACAGTTCAAACCTACCAGCTGCTCCTCAGAAATCCTATACAGAGTTGCTATGAGTTGGAAGTGACTAAATGGCACTTAACAACAATAGCGTACAACTGTGACAATGACATCTACTCTTCAGTTCCGGTGTGTGGATAGAATAGTGTTCATAAAACACTCAAAGAGTTGGCATCTGTGTTATCCCTTCACCGTCAGCTTCCTCTCATCTTCCGTGACTTCAGAACTGACTGAGAAGTCCTGTCCAGAACTGAATTTGTCCTCTTGTCCTCCCTGCTGGCCGCTCCTCCTGTGAACCCAGTCCAGGGAATGCTGCCCCTGTCCCAACCTGGTTGTTGATGCTAGAACCAAGGTTTCATATTGAGTTCTTTCTCCCTCGCCTCCATGAACAGTCAGTTACCAAGTCCTATTTTTCTATCCCTGAGTACCCCTCAAGCTCATCTACTGTCACCATGGCCCCTCTTCTTTCCCCTGAGTGATTGTTGTTGTTGTTCTTAGGTGCCATCGAGTTGGTACTGACTCATAGTGACCCTGTCCACAACAGAACGAAACATTGTCTGATCCTGGACCAACCTCACTATTGTTGCCACGCTTGAGCCCATTGATGCTGCCACTTTGCCAATCCATCTCGTTGGAGTCTTACTCTTTTTCTCTGACCCTCCACCTTAACAAACATGATATCCTTCTCCAGTGACTGGTCTCTCCCGACAATATGTCTGAAGTATGAGAGACGAAGTCTGGCCATCCTGCCCTCTAAGGAGCACTCTGGCTACACTTCTTCCAACACAGATCTGTTGGTTCTTTTGGCAGCCCATGGCACTTTCAATATTCTCCTCCAACACCATAACTAAAAAGCATCAATTCTTGATTGTAGAGCTGCTTTTACTGCTTTCTTGTTTGCAGTCTTGCTCTTCCCACTCTGTTCTCTAATTAGTCTTGACTAAGCATTTTAAGTTTCTGGCCGGACCACCCTGAACACGCCCGATCTTGTCTGATCACAGAAGCTAAGCAGGGTCAGGCCTGATTAGTCCTTGGATGGGAGACTGCTTGTGAATAAGGAGCTCTGGTAGCATAGTGGTTATGAGTCAGGCTGCCAACCTCATGATCAGCAGTTTGAAACCACCAACGGTTCCGTAGGAGAAAGATGAGGTGTTCTGCCCCTATAAAGATTTACAGCCTCAGAAACCCTGTGCAGGGTCACTATGAGTCAGAACCGACTCCACGGTACTTAACAACACCAACAAGCATTTTTAAATACAAATCTTGTCTTTATACCACCTGCTTAAAACCTCCCAGTGGCTCCACCCTTGTCCAAGGATAAATAAAACTGAAGCATCTTAACTTGACTCACAGGACTCTTCCCTTTGGCCCTGGAATGTCATCCATAAACACCCTTCCCTCACCAACGTTTCACCCTTCAGCCAACTGACTCTCTCATTTCCTGATGTTTCTTTGTGTGTGTGTTTTATTCTGGAAAGGAACTATGATTTTAAACAAAATTAGAGAGGAAATGGTCAAAGGATACCATCCAGGAAAGTATTAGGTCGAACCACATGAAGTTGTTCCTGCTCCGCCTTTATCCACATAGTTAGCTTCCAAATCCCAGGCCATCATATAAATATCAGCATTATGTAAAAATGGAGGATGACCACATCAGATCACAAAACAGGACGACTCCATCATTAGATAACTGCCAAATTACATCATTACATAATTGCCTGGCCGCTGAGGACCATGGCCCAGCCAACTTGACACAACCTTAGTCATCATAACTGGCATTTTTGTCACCTTGCAGCCCTGGCATTTGTTACTGCCATACATATGTTGTTAATGCACAAAATAGTCAGATAGTTGAGTTTTATTATTGTTGTTGTTGTCAAGTGCCGTCGAGTCAATTCCAACCCATAGCGACCCTGTATAGGGTTTCCAGGGAGAAGCTGGTGAGCTTGAATCTCCGACTTTGCAGTTCAAACGGCTTTGCAGTCTGGCGCATTAACCCATAGCACCACACCAGGCCTCTATTGTAGTAAATGGGAAATCTAAGACTGTTGCAGACCGTGAAGGCCTGGTCAGAGATTTGAGGCCCTATAGGCCCAAGTGTAACAGATCTGGCCACCTGGCAGTTAATAACAAAATATTTTTATTAAATGCAGACATGAAGCCCTTGATATACACAGATAAATGTAATATTTTCCTAAAAGTGAATACTGTAAAATTCTAAACAGGCAAAGTTCTTCCCTCAGAGAATTCATTCAAGGTAAATTGGGTGGCTCCCTGGTCTGTTCCAAGGACAATAGGAATGCCCTCCCTAAAGTGTTTCCACGTGCTGCCTATTCACCCAGGTGCCTCTTTTCCTGAAGAACTTGGGCTGGGCAGCTGACACAATGGGAATCCTCCCTTTCTTCCCTCCATTTGAGGCTAGGTGCTAAAAGGTATGTTAATTAAGCTTGAGAAACCAAGTTGCGGTGGTGAGATTCGAACCTACAAAGTATGATGTAAAGTTGCCTAAATGTCTGGAAAAATAAGATTGACAGTTGTATCTTGTCTTAGTCCCCTCCTAGCTTTGTGTAACGTACCTCCCCTAAATAAAAGGAAGGCGCAGAACGAATCCAGGTGCATTACGACTGGCAAGGCGTGCTTTACAGCATGCAAGGGGCACAGTCCAGCATTGCAACCATACTGCCTGTTTAGCTAAGATGTTTACTATGCAGGATATTACGGCCTTCGTGGCTGAGATGTTTGCAACGCAGGATCTGCCTGATGCCAGTCCAGCATTCAATCTGGTTTCAGAGTGTCTCTTTGTCTCTCTCTTTGCGTCTCTGTGACTCTTTTGCTATATCGCCGCTGGATCTCCCCTCCTCGTGAACCAAACACTCGTGAACAACACAACTGTGTCGAGGCAAGTTCCCTGGCATAAGACAATGAGATAGTTGACCACTTTTGACCTAGGAAAACAGCATTTTCATATAGAGCAACCCAATATTTAGGGATTTGAAATGATCTTCAGGCGGGTCAGATGCTCTGGCTCGAGAGTGACCACATGCTTC